CTACTACTACTACTACTTACTACTGCTACTACTTACTACTGCTACTACTTACTACTAGTACTAGTACTAGTACTACTACTAGTACTACTACTACTACTACTACTACTACTACTACTACTACTACAGCTAGAACGGCTAGAACGGCTAGTATTTATGCGTGCACCTGCTTACTTAAGCCTTCAGCTCACTCTTGCCGGTCCCGACCTAAACCACGCCTCGATATGTGAAGAAGCGCGGCGCAGCTGAAGCCAAACACCGACCAGTTGATTGAGGCCTGAATCTACAGTACTGCAACTTATGACTCGGCCCAACTTCCCGTGATTTAGTATAGTCTAGAGACTTACATTGTATTTATGGCTGAAGGCTCAGCCTTAATCATTTCACCGTCGGGTGAAGGGAACCCTTTTGCGGATGGCCCCTTCGATTCTGCTGAAGACGTGAGGGCAGCGGATGTCCGTGGTCGGACAAACAACACCATTGAGTGAGAAGTTGTGTACTACAAGGGTCTGAATCGATGTCACTGACAAAATGTCCCTTCACAGCCACTATACATAACATGCTTTGATAAAGACGCATATATTAGTGAGAATGGCGCCCTCTGATGCAAGAATCAGAAGGATTATGGGAAATGGCGATCCTGTTGATGTTGATCTTCCCTCCTGAACTGTTTATCTCGTGGGGAGTCCTGCTAGATGAAGCTTCCATTGCTTACGCTGTAGCCACTGTAGTCGGACCGATGATCCGATTAAGCCGAGAAACCTTTCAACGCCTTACCTGGAACGGCTTCCCACCAGCACCTAAAGCCTCAGACGAATCAACAACAAAGCATCTTGTGTTTACCAACATCTTGTGTTTACCAACAATCGCATCCATAGACTGTTGATGGGTAACAATCGCGCATTGCCCAGTGCCGTAAGTTGCTGCACCTAAAACCTCGAACCGAAGCCCCTTCCATCACACTGCCGGCGCAACGATTGAGGCCCAGCAAATTGTGATCAAGCTGAGCGGAGGCTTGAAACCTTAAGTCCAAACCCTTCAAACTGAATACCTACAGTACTTGTACAGTAAAATTCAAGTTTGACCCCAAGGCGTATGATCAGTGACTATCCAGGCTTTTGGCTTCTCTCTCCAACACGCAACAGCTACTCCACCAGAAAGCCGGAAACTTCAGACCCGAAGCATCTACTCGACTCTTCAGCCACATGGCGGCATCTGAAACAGAACCCTACAACAAATCACAAAAACACCCCAAGCAAGTCATGAGTTCCTTGGGCGACCAACTTGGTCTCCTCCGAGGTTGGCCAGAAGCCCTGCGCCTGCGCTTTAGGGTTCACAGGCTTTAGGGGTTTGGGCTTCGCCCTGAACCCTATAGACTCTAAACCCCAAACCTTTAGGGACTTGAGGAGCGGCGGAATCGTGGTTCTCGCTCTCTACCTGCTGATCGGTGAGTTCCTTGCATCTGTAACCGTACGTAGATGTAGTGATTATAGGTCTTAGGCACTATAGGGAACCTGATTCAGACAGACCTGAGAGTTATCTTGCGCTTGGAGAGTCGGCTATCCTGAGCAAGAGGCGTTGTAGGACATCGGCACGTAGTACTAGCTTCGGTTATAGCGATTTGAGTATTGGGAGTCGAGTACAAACTTGAACTGTAAGTAAAGAACTTAGAGCCCATGCGTCTACGCAAGTCCAAGCTTCGGTTATAGCGATTTAAGTATTGGGAGTCGAGTACAAACTTGAACTGTAAGTAAAGAACTTAGAGCCCATGCGTCTACGCAAGTCCAAAGCAATCCCGTCCATGCTTATTACTTACCCTGCATGCACCTTTGCTCTGCGCCTTAGACTTTACGAAGTGAATGCACCTGGCGTCAGTTGTTTTCATCCTCGCTCCGCAGTTGCGAGGGGTGTGGAGAAGGCAAGCGCAATCAAGAGGTGAAAGCATACATCAGCCGAATATAGGGTCTGAAATAGCTAGAACCTTTAATATGGTTTCGCGTTAAACTGGAATGTAGTGGTAATGAAGAAGTATAAGGAATAACGTTTGTGAAATGCGCGCCTTCGTAAAAGGATAACCAGGCTAACTAAGGGACGTTTGGCAGTGAGCTGTACCAATGTAATTGCTTCAGGGTCAGCTGGCGTCTCGTTCCAAGACATCTTGGATACTGTTATGCGGACCAAACCACAGACCCTGGGTATCGTTCGCAAGAGCCTTTGCATCAACCTCCCCCTCATGATCATCAGGCCGTGGGCACAGGAATTGTCAACACTACACCATAGTCACCATCCCATGCCGATTTAACGTGGTTCTTAGATTAGAATCTCAAAACATGGAGTGTTGAGGACCTATGGCTTGCTTCTCCTGCTCTATCTCAAACTGAGTTCGCTCAGCCCCGTCTTTTGAAGACCCAGGCCTCTCCTCCGGAGATCGCACTGAACTCTGCTGGAAACTGGAACGATGGCTTTCAAACCACAGGCCCATAAGCCATGACCTACGAGGGAACGGGTACGTCATTTTGCAAAATGACAGGAGGCTGGACTGAAGTCGGAGCTGATCATCTGGCAAGCTGTTTCGGAGTCATTTTGGGTTTAGGGTTTAGGGTTCTGAATGTCGAAACCAACACAACTGACTGCTGAGCTTCTCCCCGCATGGATTTCTGGGTCGGAACTGCAGGTTCACGTGATTGGTCCCATCGACATGTTTCATGCTGTGTCAGCCCGATGACAACTCTTCCCTCTGTCCCTGTGATGTCTTCATTAGGAGACTGCTGGAGCAGAGCCCCACTGAAGGGAGCCGGCCGTCCTGCCTCGGGACTGTGCGGCGATCTATCCTCCTATTGGGGGGTGGCAGCTTCAAGATCCCTTGCGACATCCAGAGGCCAAAGATCAGTTGCTACCCTAAGGTACCTACTATATAGGGCCCTAGGGGCTATATAGTAGGCACGTGGGCGGTTAGGACTAGGTCCGGGGAGTGACTAGTACTTACACCTTTCGCGAGGCAGGCGTGTGCCGTTGCATCTTCCAATCGTGAACTACATCGGCCGGAAGAACTTTCACAGCTACGCATGGAAAACGAAGAAGTGGAGACGACTCGACCGAGAATGCTGGAGCATTCTAGCCCGTCAAAGTCACAAGGTCTCCTTAAGGGCTGGAAATACGAAGCCGAAGCAGGAGGTCTGCAAACCAGCACTGTGATGCATGCTGACACCTGCGGAGCCTACTTTTCTGGGCAGGAGGCCGTGCCTCTCTGTGCTGCAGCCCGGAACCTTGACCCCAATTCGATCTTGTGATCGCCTTCAGCCATGCGGTTTAGCACCAATACCGAAGCCTGTGGTTGAGGATTATGTGTCCAAAAACAACACGTCGTTCATAAAGATGGCTGGTGGTGGGTCGGGTTTGCTTGGGCAGAGGGCTTGGGTTTCAATCGTCTGTCTGCTGTGGTCAAGCTGAAAGGATCTAAAAATGACACAAGTTGGTTGTCTCGATCATGAGTCTTCCCACAACATTTTCGCCAGGTGGCGGCCGCAGTGAATCACACCACGAAGGAACATGGTGTCTTACAACAAGTGAATAACGCCACAGGCGCGCTGGGTGTGGATGAGAGCGTTGTGACACTAGATTCCCTCATCGCTACAAGCAGTCCGAACGTCCTCCCGAAACCAAAGCGATGACTATACTCCAGTAGTCCATGGACAAATGTGAATCCCCCAAGCAGTTCAAGGCACAGCGCACGATATCACAATGCCTGTGGAGGAACGGTTCATATTTTAGGCCTGCTAGAATATAGAATCCAAAATAACATCCTAGGCTAAAGACACTTCGTGAAGTTTTCCTGGCAACTTACCTTATGCCCCCAACCTTATGCTCTGTGTATATGAACCCTATCACATGCATCTAAGCTACCTCCATACATGCACGGCCCACTGACATGAGTCTGAACTTGAAAATGAACTAGCAAGAACACACCTGCATTTATCATCTTTCAACTTGTTTAAATGGTCGAAGAAACTGTCCGATGGTCCGATCTGAATTCCCCGCAGACTCCACACCCTACACATCTTCGTCGCCGATGTGCGACGATGGCGAAGACTGGCGCCGGAAACGAAACAGGCTGCGCGCCAAGCGAGGAACGCAGAGAAGCGTCCGCCGAACCTGCCCTGGGCTGCGGTTAGTTTATGTAAGGGCTTGCGGGGATGGTCTTCATTAAGCCCATATAGGGCTTAGGGTGCAGGGTTTAACCCAAACCAGCTACTCCCTAAAACACTATACCCTTAGACCCTAAACTCCGAGCCCAGACAGCGTAAATCCCCACACCCTAGACCCCTACACCCCGTAACCCTGATTGGAACCCTAAACCCCTAAACCCCCTGAAACCCCAAAATGCCAGTGGCTGACGCCGCACCTACAGCCTGAGCCCAAGGCTTAGGAAACCTTCCATACATCATTATTTTTTCAGCGTAATGATAATATTACTAGCCATAAGAACGAGAATAGTAATAGTGGCAGTAGCAAAATACTAACGAAGAGTCTGCAGCATCCTCAACACCCGAACCTGCAAACCCCACACAACTCGAAGTCGACTTTCCTGCTAGGCTCTATATGAAAACCTCTTCGTCTATGGCTTATGTATAGTTCTGGGCTAAGTAGAGGGATAACGGCCTGAACCTGAAATTGAAAACATGAAAGTGAACTAAACTAGCACGTTCTGGAGCACCTCCAGGTCTATGCGCTGAGCCCTGAGTAAAATGCAAAGGTCAGCTGATCCTGCAAGCTTGAGGTCACCGGAACTCCTACCAAGCAACCTCTAAACTCTAAGGACCTGACCCAGTCAAGTTCAGCAAGTGAGAGTTCAATAATTTGGGAGCAACTGCACTTTCGGAGTGGATTTTCCTGCGAATGTTTCCCGACTCCTCGTTTCAGGGGCCTGGTTTAAGGACCAAAGCTATACGGTCCCTACTTTCTTGTGACCTCTTTTTTTCGTCCTACACGTAGCAGGTAACCCTTAACCCGTATCCGAAATCCCTTCACCCAGTAGCTCCGAGTACTTGGTCCTTCTTGGCCAAGGCACGCAAAGGTAGCTGTGCAGCTGCTGCCTCCCCCTCAGGTATAAAGTTTCGGATTTTGTTTGGGCTTTAAGGCTCATTCTAGGTGGTAGAAATCAAGGCCCAGCCTAGAATGTCCCTCAACAGATTCGAAGACCCAACAAGCCATCGGAATGCATCTATACTTTTGGATTGGGAAACTACACAGAGCAGGTGAACGTCAGCTCACGCAAAAGTCTTTGCAACAGAAAAAGCTTCATGAATCCAGGGACTGTCAAGTTGTCAAGTACCACGAGAAGCTGCTTGCTTATAGGGGTTGTATAATTCAGCATATATAGTGTAAGATGCAATAAGGTTCAGGGTTTTAGGGTTTGTCAGTCTCGCAGATTGTGCTCTTTCCAGTCTTAGGCGTGTGGGGCCGGATAGGAGCCGGTGGGGTCAGCACAAAACAGACACAGGTTTCGGGTTGAGGATTTAGGATGGAGAGTATGGAATGGAGTTTAGGGCCAGATTCTGCGAGGGGACGGTGGATTGAAGACTTGCAGCTGCCCTGACACGCTCCTTACACTAAACCTGAACACCAAGTTTTACACAATGAACATGAAAACTAAACTCAAACCCTAAACCCTCAACCCAAACCTCTAAGTACGACTCCTCACGGCGAGGCGACCGTTTTTCGGCATAAGGCCTGCTACGATACGGTCTGCTGCATCGTTTTGTGCTGGGTTTCAGGGTCAGCTGTTCGTTGGGTTCAGAAAGATCACTAGGTTACGCGTCTCAAGTTCTGTCCCCGGCACCTTCCAGGCCAGGAAGACGGCGCGAATGTCCACCGAGTCATTCCCAGCAGTCATTAAGCTGGAAAGACCTCAAAAAGCCCGGATGCTCAAGGCGTTCGGGCTGTAGGGATTTAAGACTCAAGGTTTAGGACGGCTTTTCATTCTAGAACCGCTTTGGGCTTAGAGAACTGAGGGTTTATAGGGTTGGGGCTTCAGGGATTCACTGTGTAGGGGTTGGAGCTACAGTTCACAGTTTTAGGATCAGGGGTTTGGGCTTGGGGGGTGCCTGGTGCATACAGTTTAGGGTTTGGTGTATAGGGCCCAGAGGGCAATACAAAGAGTCAAAAGCAAACAATTACTAATTTCAGTTCTGCTTACAGACCTCCATACTCGGTCTGTCCTGCCTATAGAAACGCTATAGACGTCCAAGGGTGTAAATTCGGCCAAGAGAAATGGTTTCTCAGAGGCGCAATACAATGCAGCCACAGACCGAAATCCAAAGAATGATGCTTGGGCCACTAAACCCTAAGCCGGTGCCCTCAACCGCAAGGCCTAAACCACGCCGAGGATCGTAACATCTTGCTGACCTGCTCATCATCGCCGAAGAGATCCGTGGCTTCTTCCTCGAGACGCTTTGATTCGAGGTCTACGAAGGCTGCTTATGAATTGGGCACAATGAATAATAGTTCTCTTGAATCAGGATGATGCCAGAGCAAACCCCAGGCAAACTCGAGACCTCAAGCTGTGAAGAGAAACCCAGCAGAAAAACCTTGGCAATTCCTGCATCCGGTCCGGTCCCACACCCTGGACCTTAAAACCTAAACGACCTAAACTTTGCGTCGACCCTCTTGCGCTTTCGTGTTTGGGTATTTTTGTAGCTCAGGCCTTGGTTAGTTTTGGGTGGGTCAAGGAGTTTAGTGGATTTTGGGGCCCCAAAGACTTCGGAAACCTTAGTGTGGATTTCTACCCTGACTACACGTAATGAGAATGACACTCATCGCCAAGGAGCTATACTGTCCGGTCTGGCATGTATGTTGATGCTCTTCGCTGATTCCTAATAAACTCTAGGTAGGATCTTTTCTGGATAAGCTATTTTATGGTTAAGGTCATATGATCGGAAAACAAAGTAGCCAACAACAAAAACTACTTTGTAGGGTCCATATTGGGTATCTCATATTCTGAACCACCAATCCTGCAGACAGGAATGGCGGAGAAGATGTTCTGAAAGACGCGTCGGAGATGCGGGGGAAAGAAGAACACCCAGTGTTTAAGGCTTTAAGGTTTAGGGTTCTAGTCCCTGCCTCTATGCAGTTGTAGCAGTCGGAGATGTTCTTCAGAAAGAGCCGAGCATAGAGGGCGAAGAGGTCCATGTGGGTGCTCCGTGCAATCACCTTGTGCAAGCTGGAGGTCTCCGAAGCTTCCATCCGAGTCTCGGAGAGCTGGGAGGACCATCACTGACGAGGTCGGTTGAGGGTTTGGGGTGGAGGGGTGGTTCGGGGGTGCAGGATCTGAAGCCTATCGGTTTTGGGTGAACCCCCGATATACTTTCTTCAAGAAGTACCCTAACCCCCCAGGCACCTACTGTATAGGGTCTAGGGGCTCTAGTACCCTATATGGATGGCTTACGACGTTTGGGTATATAGGTCTAGTGCTGAATTAGGGCTTGGAGTGATTTGGATTCCAGGTTCAGCCGTCAAGATTTAGATTGGGCTCTCACACTGCACGCATGTCCATAGGCGGCCCTAAACCCTGCAGACCCCAAACCCAACATCTAAGCTGTTTAAACCCTGAAGCCTACCTAATTACGACCGGCCTAGGGCCACCTACCTGACCTTGGACCATTTCAGAACCTTGCTGTTTTCGCTTGCCGACTCGCAAAGTCAGTGTACCTAAACTTGAAGCCGTGCACCCTGCCACGCAATCGATAGAGGCCCTCATCTCTAGATTCAAGGGATCGTCTTTTCCTCCTACGAACATGTTTCCGACTACTGTTTTGGCTAAGCATGTGGGGCCCTCAACTCACCCCGAATCCGAAGCCGCTCGGATGAGTGGGTGGCCTTCCGGAAGCCATCGCCATCAAGCTGAAAAATATGCGCACTCTGCGAACCGCAGCCTTACAGGGTCTTTTGGGCTCGGTTAGGGCTTCTGCGGCTGAAGTGTTCAGGGTTAGTGGGCAACTTCGCATCCTAAGCCTGCAACTGCAAAGCGTCAGGCCCTCCAGAGCATTAAAACCCTCTTCCCTAAACCCGTACACCCTGCAACCCATGGGATGTCCGCTGCGAAGCCAAGGTGTAAACTCTGAGAACTAGCTCAGACGCCCTCCGAGACGCCCCAGACCGCCAATCGTGTCCCAGACACATGAATTTCATAAATATAGGGGCCTTAATAATTATAATGGGGTTTTCGGGTCCATTATTATATTAGGTTTATCACAAGGAAGCCCAAAACTAGTATAGGTAATTATTGAGGCCCTATATGGCCCCAAACCTGGGGGCCCCCCAACCCGAAGGTCCTGAAAAAGGCCCCGGCATGAGGCCATGAACCCAAGAGCTCACAACAGACCAAGGCTCACAGCACACCAAGAAGCTAAGAGGTCGGTTTAAGGTTTAGGGTTTAGGGTTTAGGGTTCAGACACTCGTATTTTCGGCAACTTGTTCCACTTGCGACGCATCCCTCGATTAAGAGCTTCTTCACTTTGGCTTAAGCCTCAACATTGCTGAAGCGTATAGGGCTTCGCTGGCCAGCACAAAGCAGAAAGTCCTTAACATTGGCGTCAGGACTTAGGTCTTAAGTTTGGGCTTACAGCCCTTTTCCTCGTGCAGGGTTTCTGGGTTGAGGTCTCAGGGCTTGGAGAAAAGGCAGGCCCCGAAACCTCCGAAAGAACCCAACTTCTGCCCTTCAAGGCAAGTCCCTGGAAGCCCGCACCCACAGAGCCCTACAGCCCCGATCCAGCAGACTCCAAACTCTAGGATCCTGGGCCCCAACAGCCGAAGCACCGAGATTTACAAGACTCGGCCTGTAGTGCTGCATCTTCTACAACTCCAAATCTTCTATAGTCCTGAAGTTGTATAAGGGTTCCAAAAGGGTTCCAAAAAGGCTTTCGGGTTTAGGGTTGTTGGCCCGGCCTAGGCGGCCGCGGTACTCCCAGTTCCTCGGCACTCTCCGCTCGAAGCCCAAAGTCAAATTTTAAGGTTTAGGAGTTTAGGGCGTCTCGAGTTTAGTTTAGGGTTTAGGAGGTACAGAAGTGCACAAAAGTGAACTAGCGTAGCATCTCGGAAGCCTCTTGGCCGTTTGTAGAACAGTAATATTATATATATATATATATATAAACTGTAAGTGTAAGTACAAATAGCAGGATACACGTAAACATACACATAACATTAGTATTAACATCTAGCTGTATTTCGTTATTTCGCTGCTCCTGCTGCTGCCTACTGCGACGACGAGTCAGTACTACTAGGACGACCTGGTATTGCTTCTAGCAGATCAAAGCAGCTAAACGAGAACAGAATATAGGTTTAATGTCGCCCGGTGACAGCTTAGACCAACTACAAGAATACACTCTGAGTGGTAATTCCTAAATCCCTAAACCCTAAACCCTAAACCTTGGGTTTTTGTACTCTCAGCCTTGCAGTTCCCTAGCCTGGCCCTGTACCCCGCAGCCTCTTCGGCTAAGAACGCCCAGCGGCAACCAGAGCACTGCTTCGCTAACCCGCATGCCAGGGAGGACATCCTCTGTGGAATCGAAGGCTCTCTGGGTCTACGTGGCTGCTATCAAGCTTGCAGTGTATATGCAGTTTGGCCTACTTCGGTTTATGTACGTGTAGCTCATCATGGCTCCCGTCATGACCTGGATGTCCTGGGGTTAACCCAACTACTCTACACCCTACACCCCAAACCAATACCACGCTGTCTATATCATGTCCTAGATTTTTGCACTTTTGCAGACGTTTTCTGCCCCGGGCAAGGCCATGTCGGGCTTGTGTCTGTTGGGTCCCACCGTCCTGGTGTCTGGGTATCGTATGTGGTTTGCTAAAGGATCGCAAGAAGTAAACAAAACCTAGGGTTTGAGGGCGTACTCTAGTACTGAAAATGATAGAAAAGGAGACTAGTCAAATCCAGGATTCTGTATCACACGGGGTTTAGATTCCCCAACGTTATGCGGCAATTTTTGGAGGGAAAGAATCTTGTTTCGGCCTGGACGACTCCGTCAGCCTAAGCCACCGGCCTTTGTGGTACTAGTACCTGCTGTAGTGGTATACTCCTACCGCCAGTTGCGCATACCAATGCAGCCGGGTTCTGGCAGATCTCGCATGGTCGAATCTGACTCTGCTTCCTAATTGTGGCAGGGGGGCGAAGAAGGGGTTTGAAGGACAAGACGCGCAACGTCACACAACCCTACTGTTGCATGATATCTACCTCCGCTTGACATCCCAGGGCCCAGAACCACGCAAGACGCATGGCCCCCTCAGCCCTTGGAGTCCCTACATGGTTAAAGCAATTGATAAGAAGCCCCTGCAAAAACCTGATAGTCATCCTTCTAGAAACCCTTCTACAGCCCTCCTCTATAGGCACAAACCCGCCTATTCAAGGACCTCCCCAAAACGCTATAAAGGCAGAAAGCCGCCTTTTCAAGGCCCCCCCCAAAAAAAACAAAAAAACAAAAAAAACTGAAGGAAGACCTGCCTCGACCAGATGAGGCGTCTCGTCCCAGCTGTAATGCAGTTTGCCATCCCGGACAAAGTACATCAGCTCACCTTTAGCGCCTTTCAGGGCTTTTGTGTCCACGAAAGATCTAAGGGTGGTTGGGATCTGGCCGGTTTGAGGGTTTAGGGTTTGGATAAGCCTGAAATTTTATAGGTTTAAGGGTCTTACTTGGCATGCCCGGTTTCTTCTAA